AAAAAAAAAAAAACACATCATAGTAAAACCAATACCTTCTCAGCTTCGCATCGAAGCTAAAAAAATACAATTTTTTACAGTAAATTTTGTATGGTCTTGTTCTTGACCAATTAACGGAAAATCATAGCTATATGTTTTTTTACTATAGTAAAAAAAAATCAAATTAAAAAATTAATTTATAGATATTCGTTATATTGCGACTATATTTATTAATGTTATTTTATACACAATAGGTAAGCTAACCCAGAATAACAATTTGTGACAGATTTGATTAACAATTAGTAATTAGGAATAAGAGTATGTACAATAATATTGATAAAAATTATTAAGAACTAACAGCAGATAAAAAGAATAAAATAGAAAAAACATACACATAAAAATACAATTATCATATCTCAATATTAGAAAACATAAATTATTAGAAAATGTAATAAATATACACAAAAGCATTTACATAAATCTCATTGAGCAATTTAAAAAAGAGCTAACACAATAATACACGTAGTTGCAACTAAAAGTTGATAATTAATGGCTAAAAAACGGCACAAATGTAAAATTAACATAGAGTGATTAAAATCAGGGTACTATTTGCAATACGCATTAAATGCAAAAGGGTAAATAAAGATAATAATTTGTAGTAGGGTAATGATTAAAGAAAAGACAAGTATTTCGAGTATGATGAAAATTTAAAGACACAGTGGGACGGATAAAACAGGATGATTTTGGATAAAGTATGTTGTTAAAATAGGATTAGTAAATCGGAAAAGTGTCATTTTTGGTCATTTTAGAATATTGATCGTTAAGTCAATAAATTCACTCCAAGTAATTAGGCGAACAAGATCGGATTGAAGTAAGGTAGGTCCCGAGCTATTGAAGACCCTCATAAATTTTTGAATAGTAAATTTAAACACTAGACCAATTCAAAATGTAAAAAATACATTATAAGACAAATACAACTTTATAGGGTTAAACTTTAAAAAATTGTATTTTACTAATCGAAAAATTTTATTGCTATATGTTACTATACTCTAGTAAAGAAAAAGCAAATTAAGAAAAAAAAAACCATATATATATATATATATATATATGAAACTTTGCAACTATATGAATTACATTCTCTTTTTAGTAATATAGATGCTAAGTATCTCTTAATGTTATTTTATAAATGAGTAATATTATAATAAGTGTCATTCTACAGCGTATGATTATCGCCTATTTACAATCAGCCGTCAGGTTTGTGCTGATCGAGGGACGCTTGGTCAAATAAAATAGGTCCTGAAAATAGTCGTCATTTTGTCATGACCAGTCATAGTATTCTATATCTTAATTTTAAGTTTATGTTTTATGTCTTAGTATTATACTTAATATTTGTATCTATATATTATTCTACTTTATAAAGTGAAGTGATTTAATATAATAATAAATTCTAAATCACTAGGTTTAATCAAACTGTTCGTTCATTTATTTTATATATTATACCTTACCGTAGTAGGCTAATATAACAACGTTTAGTAGTAATTAAATAATTATACTAATATACATTTTAAAAACGAATAATCAAAACTTATACATATATATTGCAGTTATTGACTGCTCGAGTAATAAAATATAACAATTCATACAATTTCGCTGATTTTCTTGAAGAGATAATATGAAAACTTGGGAGGCTAAGCCTCCCAAGCTCATCCCATGTTATCTCGTAGTACTTCAAATATATTTAATTTTAAAATTAATTATTGGTGAAAAAAAATTTTGATTATATAAAGACTGAATTGTTTAGTTCATTTGTGTTTTAGACTTTTAGGCTATACTTATGATGGTTTATAAGTCATACACTTATCACGCTATAATAGATGGTTAGATATTATTTAAACCATGTGTCGTTTATATATATATATATATCCAAAGGGTTATTAATGAAGTGTTAATTATAACGAAATTAGTATTATTTATTCAATTAACTAAATATTATTATTAACGAACATAGCCAGACCAACTTGTTTTTTTTTTTAATATTAGTACCAATAGCTTGATGGCCAAAAACTCTAGGGTTGCTTTATGTTTATAATTTTTTATAGGTTCGTTATTAGCTTTGAAATTAAAATAATTTTATTTTTATAAAAGTAAATTTAACTTTTTGTTGTACTTAAATAAAATTTTAAAAATATTGACAGAATTATAGAAATATAATTATTATAATTTTAGGAACTAATATTATTCTAGTTTATATAAAAAAGTCACAAGTATATATCTGTACGAAATTAATTTTTATTAAAATGAAAATGTCATCTAATTTCTTCTTACAAAAATTACATATATTGAAAATGGAAAAGCTTATCTTCACTTCTATAAGCAAAGGGTCAATTTTTTTGGTGGGACTAAATTTAATTTTCCTCCCTACAAAAATATTTTGTATTTAACAATTCTACAATTTCGGTGAAATTCAAGGGGGACGATGAAAGAAATCTTGAGAGACTAATCCCTCAAGCCCCCATTAGCTCTGCCTGTTATCACTATCCCACTTATTATGTTCTTTGTATCTACAATGGCTAATATCACAAAAAATAATTTCAAAAATAGTTATATTTTTGTTCATCTATCTATGGAACTTTAGCTACTTATGCTAAGAGAGGAAAAGTAAATTTTTTAATTAGGAAAACTAACTATCAATAGATATAATCGCTATCATTAATCGCCGTCCACAGGCATCGGTGACCTTTGGACCGCAGATAAGTTAGTCATAATGCTATCTAATCAGCAAAATAATAATAATACACACAACAATAGTATTATTCGTCAACAGTGCAGCTCTTATAAACCAGTATCTACTATTAAATTATCCAAATAAAACACCACAAATGTAGTAGTCAATACAGAACCTGGTTAGATTATCAAAACCAGCAAATTTCAATCTTCCCAAGGACTTTCACCTAACGCTAAAAAAAATAAAAAGGATAACCCATTCGCTACTTCAAACAGATACCATGCACTCAACGATGCTGAGGACGACACTCAAATGAATACTGAAATATCACCAACTGGCCTTCTATACAACTCTGGGTACATACGCTAATTACACACTGATAACTGCTTCTAACAAAGACCCTATTATAGCCAGTCAAATGTTATATAACCACTTAAATATGATCCACTT